GCTCTAAAAATTCTCCAGATGGGCTTTAATTTATTAAGGAAAAGATTTAGAACTTGAGAATCTTGTAGGCATAAAGCCAAGTCTAGCTATAAGGACAAGCATTACAAGAAACTCAACACTTTTACTTTTAGGAAAATACTTCTATCATTACTAGATAAATAAAAGCTCTTACATTCTTGCCAATAGCAGTGTAACACGTGTGCAAAGTATCTTCTTACCGGTAAGGAGGCACATAGTGTCCTTAATTTTATTACTTTCTTAACTTTCTAAAAAAACAAAAAACAAAAAACTTTCCCCTCATTTCCAATATCACCACCTTAGGTTCACCATCCAATTGAGTTAGGCAGGGCTTAAAAGCAATTAATCCAACGAAAAAAAAAACGCAATGTTTAAGCACCACTAATTGATGACAGATACCCAATAATTATATAAATTCAAAATCAGACCAGCCACCAAAACCATTATAAATAAAAATTAAAAAAATAGACCAGCATTTTGTGCTACTTTTTTATGGCTTAGCAATTGAGCACCATCCAAAAGGTTGAAGAGTGCTTGGATAATCTAAGACATTTGTACTACGAAATCACCATATAATTAGTAGCAGAATCAACCAACAGCAAAGAAAACAAACAATATTGAGGAGGTAATTAAGCACTCAAATTAAATTAATCCGAAAACAAACGTCAATTGCTTAAAATAAACCTGCAGCTTTTATTATTACAAGTACGTAAGCACATGTAGCTATTAGGCGTGTGAGTCAGTCTTACTCGAAAAGGCACCACCCATAATTAAGTAAATGCATTGCACCATAGATGCCAAATCTTGTTAAAGTATTAGTTAAACAAAGATTATTTGATGGACTAGCTAGTCGAGAGAGAGAGAGAGAGAGAGAGAGAGAGAGAGAGATTGTTTAATTGCTTAAACAAAAGTGGAACTGGAAAGAAGAAATAATTAAGAGCGTTTAATATATGCTCATGATGGGTTTATCCCGTATTAACCAATCTCTTGAAATCTGATGATCTGATTAGAAACAAGGGGGAGGATAGGTGGTACAGAATATGCATGCTTTTGGGTTAAGAATCTGACAAGTGTACAAATTCGAAAGATCATTAAACTCATGCAAAGGGAAGAATGTTTGACTCCTCCCTTCTTAACAAATCATTTCATAGGCATTAACATATTATAGGATTTTATTTGTTTATATATGTGATATTCTATTTCAATCTCATCTAAACTATGGAGAGGGGGATTCGCACTTGGGTGCAGAGTGGGGAACACATCCGCTTTAACCAATTTGGCTGAGTTAATGTCTGCATTAACATATTATAGTTAACAACAATTGGGATGAATATGCATTAAGAGGAATTAAATTTCAAGAAAATGAAAGGGAAGATGCTATTGTGAGAGATTCAGTTGTTTTCATTGGTCTATAAAGAAGTACAAAACTTGATTTTTATTTTATTTTTAAATGACATGTATCACAAGAAAAACATGATTTTAAATGGGAAAACTGTGAATGAGTATCTCTAAAATATTAGACTCGTGTAGGTTTCAAACACATGAGTTCATGGATCTTGATAATGAAAATTAAAGGTTTCAAACACATGAGTTCCTGCAAACCAATACTTAGATACTATGTCGACAACCACTAGACTCCAATACTACATAGGAAATAAACCACCACCACCATGCATCAAAGCTAGCAATTATAGTACAATTATAATGCAGACATATGAAAAGGGGTTGAAAAAGCAAACAAATTTAGCCACCGCATTTGATGAATTGGCCTGGTTGGATGAAACCCTCCACACCCTATACCCTAGCTAGCCACTTCATCATGCAATCACCGTTTAACAAAAACAAAACTTGCAATGACAAAGGTTGCCTTGGTGGGGTGCACATATGGTTTATATGGGTATCAAAGGACAATGCCCAAAAACTTGCAACCCCCCTTGATTGGTTGAGCAACCTGAAAAAGCCACCAAATTTAGAGGGTCCTAGACACAAAAATCCCATATGGAGAGTCACATAGATCGATGGACTGTAATTTTAGGCACACAAATCTCTGAGAGAGAGAGAGAGAGAGAGAGAGAGAGAGAGAGAGAGGCCTTTTTTTCTTGTTTTGTTTTTGAGTTTGACAAGCCAAGCAATAGGGATGGGGGGTGGTGCACTAAGCACCCACGCGCGCTTGTTAGCTAGGGCCCACGTATGACATCTATCGTGCGCTCGCGTTTTTTTCGTCTGCCCTACTTTATTCTTTATCTTTGTTCATGTCCTTGTATCATTGTTTCTTGTAAATAAATTTTGATTTTTCTTTTTCTTCTACTTCTTTTTTTTCTTTTTCTCTTTTTTTTCTTCATTTGAGTGTTTTTTTTCTGTTTGGTACGAAAAGGAAGAGGGCAGCAGTTAAATCAAGTACCCTTCCATGCACAACACTGACCGCCATTGTAGGGCAAGTGTCCCAAGTTGGGACATTAGATTCTCAAAATGCCCTTGTGGTCTTCTTGGATTGTGTTGATTCTTCAACAAAGTACAAGGGTAATATGGAAACAATGGCGAGATATGGGGAACGATTTTGAGAAGTAGATAAGATATGTAAGTTGAGTGAGGGGAAAAAAAGCGATTCTATCATCACTTTCATTCATGTTTTGCTTTGAAGGGCAAAGTGCCAATCAAAATTGAGGTCGATCGGAAAGTTTCTTTAAGGATGTATTCCCTTAATTTAGTTGTATAGGTAGAGTACACACATTACCTAGTATGCTTAGAGTACTTAAAACAAAAGAGTTTTGTTAGGTTTACATTAATTCACATGCGCGAAGTGGGAAAGTTTCGTTTAATTTGATTGTATACGCATATTATACACATTGCTTAATATCTTTATAATACTTAAAGTAAAAGAGTTTTGTTAGGGATATTAGCTCACACGTTCACGCACGTGTGAAAGCTATGGTAGACCCTATTATGAAACTCACACGCAAGCACCCATAAACAATTGTGTCCTTTGCTCTTTTCTAAAGCAGAATTCAAACATGCATCTACCTTCACTATACCAAAATTGGTGAAACGCATGGATGTAAGCTAGATGTTCACATTACACATTGCCTGGCATGCTTACAGTTAAAATTTGCTGCTTTTTCCTGGTCCTTGACTGAGAAATTTTCAAGGTTAGAAATAAGGGTAGAAAACTCAATCATAGAGGTGTGATGGGAAATGATGGGGAATTAAGTTGACCCTTTAGACAGGATCACTTAAATTAAATTTTGATGTAGTATTTATTCTTCTCATCAGCAAATTACAAGCCAACCCTTTATAACAGGAACACACATTGACCAACCAAATGCAGTTTATGCATACAATGTACACTACAAAGTACAACTATTGCTATGGGGTTTTTCAACTACTGATCCACCTTTATACTCCAACAATCCTCAAAGAAATGAAATGGAGAGAAAGATGGAACAGAGGAAGGACAATTGCAAGACAGGAAAAGATAGAGCAGTCTAAACCTGTCTCATGACATTGTTGACCAATCAGTCCACTCAACTTGACCCAACCCAACCCAACCCTCAGGTAACTTGACCCAACCCAACCCAACCCCCAGGGGTGGGGGCCCCCCGCGGGGGGGGGGGGGGGGGGGGGGGGGGGGGGGGAGAGTGAGAGGAGAGCATTTGGCTGGTCAGTATGATTTTGGTTCTGCATCCATTAAAAGCTTTTCAGTTAGTGGAAGACTGCAATTTAAAGTACATCCATACAAGTCCCTTATATCCATTCCCACCACTATACAACAAGAGTTTTCCACTCAGTAACTTCTACTTATTCGAATGGTTAGGACAAAAGCTAATCTTTTCTCATTGTTCTCTGATACAGATGACATAATTTGACCCTAAGTGCACCATTAATTATGCTTAAATATTTAACCAGGCAACCCTAACTTGGCTCAGAACAATTTGTCCTCAACTGGCCAATATAGTAATTAACACAGTACAGATTGCTAATAATTGAGTTGCATATTGCACTTGCTTCTTGGAGAATATATTCTTACACCTTTGTAGCTCAGCTTGCAAAAGTGGACAAGAAGATTGTTGTCTATCTCACTTTATATGTCCTCTACGTATTCATTCGAGTATTATTATTCGTATATTTTTTTCGTATTTTATTAGAGTACGTAGGAGATCCATAATTCTACATTTCTTTTTGACACAGAGACAAACATGAAACCAACTGTTCTGAAATTTGACATTCTCTACCATGAAACAGACAAACCGGATTAGTACCTGAAAAATGCCTCAGAGGGCAGATGTTGTTAACAATCAATCAAACCAATTAATCTCAAGTACAGTTTTGATTAATTAATATTTTAAAGGGTTTAAGTGTCTGATGAGTCACTAAACTCCTTAATTAATATCGCCAGTACGTATAAAAGAGTTCGCCTTTCTAAATCCTTTAATTTCTTTCCATTCCCTACGTCACAAGGGCTCTATTGGATCTATTGGATAGCAAGTATCCATCCGCAGAGACTTGACAATGGCACACCAAATTTAAGATTGACTTATTGAACCATTTTCTCTGCACTGTGGTTTTTGCCAAAACATTCCTCCATTAAAATAATTGTACTCCCCATATAATATGATCTCTCTCTCTCTCTCTCTCTCTCTCTCTCTCTCTCTCTCTGATGTAAGCAGAGATTTGATTTGAAAAATGATTATCCACAAACACTACTTGTAATCCCCCATGTTACACATGTATGTACATAACAACACCATAGCATGCCTACATGCATGAAGCCATTCATTCATGCTCGTGTGGGGCATGAAGGAACATATAAATGAACCTTTTGCATGCATTCATGTACACATAGATGAATGTGATGCATGCTGCATAAAATAGAGACATGATGTGCATGATGTTCCAATCAGCTGAGCCTTTAAGGGCACTTTGCCACACTTTTCATCCTATAAAAGACCTCCTCTCCTCGAGCCTCTCTCCCCCCTTCTAACACAACCAAATTCAGTACTCTCCACTCACCTTCACCACTAAGACCTTGAATTTATCCACTCAAAGCTTTAAGAAGCCATGCAGCCTGGGGAGGTCACAGGGCTCCATTATCTAGTTCCTTCAAGTTCATCATCTCCCTACCCTCCTCATTTTAGCATGAGCACTCAAAGCAACACCACCCCATTTCAATTCAACCGGTTTTCGAGCCCATTATACAATATACAATTCCCTAACTCCCATCTTCAAGAAATTAATAATCCACAGCAACCATCTTCTTTCAGCAGTAACTCAACTTCTGATGAAGCTGATGAGCACCAGCTAAGTCTCATCAATGAGAGGAAACAGAGAAGAATGATATCTAACAGAGAATCTGCCCGCAGATCACGTATGCGCAAGCAGAAGCACCTGGATGAACTCTGGTCACAAGTGGTTTGGCTCAGAAATGAGAATCACCAACTTGTGGATAAGCTGAACCATGTTTCAGAGTCCCATGACAAGGTTCTGCAGGAGAATGCTCAGCTCAAAGAGCAAGCTTCTGAGCTTCGCCAAATGCTCACTGATCTGCAACTGCATAGTCCTTACCATCCTTCACTTAGAGACCTGGAGGATGTTCCTTGCAACACAGCTTATCTGAGATCCGAGTCCTCGAACCAGTCCATCACAAGTTCAATGGATTTACTAGGCTAATACTGATGGAGAATAAATTTTATCATTTTCCCAATTTTCCCATTTTCAATGTATGGTGATCTTCTGTTTGTATAGAAGTCAACCAGTCCTTGCCTCACTTTTAATATGTATCAGGATCCAAGCAAATTGGCAATAACATGTTTTGAGCATTTTCATTAATCATTGCTCAATAAAATTGGAAATCTCTTAGCTATAGATTCTTCTTATCTATATGTTAAACGAGTTTCCTAATCATGTAAACTCGTGCTAATTAACTAGCTGCATGAAGTTAAAGACTGTTTGTTTTTACATGGAATCTTTCCAAGAAAATCTTGATCATCAAACAATTCCCAAGAAAACCCTGACAAACCAGATATTTATCAGGCCTTTAATAAATATATATTTGAAGAAAATAAGATTATTGCAGAAAGTAGAAAGTAGCAATTATGTCAGGTGTACTAGAGAAAAGGGAGGAGAAAAAAAAAAGTGGCAATGCAATGGGTGGAGCAATGAGTGGCAATGGTGGGGGAGAGTTGGACATGACACAGAAATAAAGGTGGTGAAATGGGAGTTGGTTCGTCATATTAAAATTACTATAAAAAGAAAGACATTTAGAAAAAGCTATCCACTAGCATATCAATCCAAGAACTGTTTGCTATTTGGCCTCGGAAGATCTGCAAACACAAGAGTCTTGATATTTTATTTATGTACGTTTCAAGTGATCATTGTTTGTTTCTTATCTTTTCAAGTTGGTTTTGATGGCAAATGTTTTTGGTGTTAGACATTTTATGCGCATTATAGACTTCTGATGATACTGAACATATAATCGCCACGCAATTGATCCCGAATCCAACTCAAGCTCAAGTCCACAGTATTTCAAACTTGATCTTATCAGAGTGAATCCTCAAGATTTTTGTTTAGCAATATAATTCTGAATTGAACAGTATTATATTACACACACAAACAGTCTATCCACTTTCCTTTTTTCTTGAATTTATTTGAAATAGAAACCAAGAGAGGTGCACAAATAGGAGCCAAAGATAAAGGACAAAAGCAGAAGAGAGAAAATCAAGGCTCAGTTCCAGCAAAAAGTTTCCAGAAAGCAGAATATGGGGAAAGCTCTAGCAAAAGGTTCCATCTCAAAATCCTAGGATGCTCTTTCTCAAATATATTTTACTTCTAAATACAATGAATGTAAAGAGAACAAAAATCTCCATAGCCGTTTTGCATAAAATAAAAGGGTTGCAGTATTTTTATATTCTTCTTGATTTGAAGAACCAATCCCACCTTTTGTTTCAAGTCCTCAATTGTGAAGTCCTGTGCAGCAGACACTGCATTCAAATTAACCACCAGACCACGAAAGAGTATTTTAAATGAGAGAGGGCCTCTCCAATTATATAGCCCTTTTTATCTTACCAATCTTATAATCCAACTTGTCCATTATAAAACTTCTGGAAGAAAAAAACTCAAATTTTAGTAGTTACAGAAACACCTTGTTCTCAGCTTGAATTGGCCCCTTTTCGTCCAAAAAAAAAAAGAATTGGCCCCTAAGTGTGCAGCATCAGCCGCCAACAGAACAGCTGTAGATTAACTTGTTAGGACAGATAGGTGTGACGGCGGCGATGCATCCATCCAACATATAGAATTGTTGGTTTTATTAATAAATAATCAGTAGCTGCCATCTTAATCTCAATGCATCTCATTCTTCTTCCAGTCCACCTCAATCTGGAAAGTTTAATGATCTATAGGTTGTTCAAGTCACCATTCTTCATCTTTAGCCGTTCACCTTAATCTAGAGATTTTAATGAACTATATTATTCATCATTTGTAGCCAAAATGAGTGTGAGATGTAGGACAAAACTGCACAGAGTTTTATTAAAATCAATCATGAAATAGTGTATACATCAATAGTAATACAAATCTGCAAATTTGAACTGTACAGTCTACAGACAAATCTTAAAAGATTCTCAATGAGCAACCAAGAGCTTCCAAAGCGGGGGCTATGAACCGAATGTTGGAAACCGTAAATTAGATTTCTTGAATAATTTAGATCTCCCTCTAGAAGATTATTCTATCATTTACAGCTTGAAATATACCACACCATCACCAGTAATCATTGCAAGAGCATGTCCCATCCTTGAAATGATGAAACCGATTTGAATCCCTTACCACTATTTCTCTCCCAGTAGCTTTTGAAATATACTTAATCGCAGTGTGGCAGTCTCCACAAACACGGAGATTCTTAAATACTCTAATGGGTTTCGATTTCGATGTGCTAATAAGACCAAACGCCACTGCTATTTTCTCACTGTGTTGAAACAAATAATACTCTTTTTGCTCCTCTTCCACATCATGAAGTACAAAATCTGTATCGGGGACAAAGCCTATTTTCTTTATCTTTGAACCCAATTTGTCCAGTTCATCATAAATCTCCCGTGCTTTAGGGTGTGACGTATCCCCAACATGAAACTTGTGGATCTTATTTTTCACCTCTATCCAGCTAGAACCTGCTTCTTTGATCAAAAACTTCTCTTTCATATCTTTTCTTACTTTGGCTACTTCTTCCCAAAGACCACTGGAAGCATACAAATTCGACAGTAAACTATATGCTGCCGAATCATGTGGGTTCTGCTCAATAATCATCTTTGCAGCATGTTTCCCGAGCTCTATGTGACCATGTACTCGGCAGGCTCCAAGAAATGTTCGCCAGATTAGTTCATCAGCTGTAAAAGGCATTGAGTTAATAAACCCAATGGCTTCTACAAGGGATCCTGAGCGGCCTAATAAATCTACCATGCATGCGTAATGTTCCATTCTTGGGATGATACCATGTTTCTTCTGCATTGCCTTGAAGTGTTTCCATCCCTCAGCAACCAAACCCGCATGGCTACAAGCTGACAAAACAGCAATATACGTGATCTCATTCGGTTTTAATCCAGCCTCAAGCATTTTGTTGAACATTTCCACAGCTGCAGCTGCATATCCATGTTTTGCAAAACCTGTGATCATTGAAGTCCATGATATAACATTCCAATCTTCCATCTCTTTGAACACTGCAAAAGCAGCATCTATGTTTCCGCACCTGGAATACATGGAAACCAAAGCATTACAAATGCCTTGGTTTAACTCAAATCCTGATTTTATAATCCGGGCATGGATTTGCTCACCCTTACCAACTGCACAAATGCTTGCAGCTCCACTCAAGAGACTAGAAAATGTGAAAGCACTAGCCCCAAATCCTGTATCCTGAATTTCATGAAAAAGTCCAAAGGCTTCTTCTGTGTCTGAATGCTTGGCATATGCATCAACGATTGTGTTATAAGATATCAAATTTTTCTCATACAAAATATCAAAAGCTTTTCGGGCATCTTCCACCTGGCCAGACCTTGAGTACATGCTAATAAGTGAGTTTCCCACACAATTAACTGATGCAAGGCCTAGTTTCACTGCCAGGGAGTGAACCTGATCACCCTTACGCAGATCAGAAAGATTTGCACAAGCCTTTAAAATGCTAGAAAACGTGAAATGGTTTGGTGGAACATAACCCGTCATCATTCCAACAAAGAGTTTGATTGCCTCCTCATCACCCTCTCCACTCTGCACATATCCATTGATGATTGAAGTCCATGACATAACATTATGGTTTGGCATCCGATCAAATACCTTCCTTGCATCATCCATCGATCCATCAGCCGCACACTTGGCATACATGTCCACCAAACAACACCCAACACAATGACCCAAAGCCAACCCAGACCGTATAACCCATGAATGCAATTGCTGCCCTAACGACAATGAGTCCAATTTTGTACAAGCTGATATAACGCCACTTAGTGTAAACTGGTCAGGCATGAGCCCACTCCATAACATATCCACATACAAATCAATAGCCTCTCCTGGACAACCCATTTGTGCAAGCCTAGTAATCATCAAAGTCCAAGTCACAGCATCCGTCTCAGGCATTGTCTCAAACACCTTATATGCGTCATCCAACTCTCCACTACCCTTCGCAAACATATCGATCAATGAGCACCCAACACACACATCAGAACCAAGATACCCACTTTTGATTACTGACCCAAAAATTATATTCCCAATCCGAATATTCTGGGCTTTCGAACATGCCCGAATCACCGATGCAAAGCAATACTCATTTGGGTAAAACCCATTTTCAAGCATATCAAGAAATGTCAAAATAGCTTCCAATCCCATATCATTGTTCGCAAAACAAGACACCATGGCACTCCAAGAAACCAAATTTCTCTTATTTCCCATATTTTCGAAGATTGAATTTGCCATTTTCCAGTCCCTAGATTTTGAGTACAAGCTAATCAATGAGTTCAGAACGACCGGGTCGAGCTCGAGCTGTGAGTGAACCAGCCGGGCGTGGACAAGTCTGCCCAGATCGAAATTCCGGGACCTGATACAGGACTTGAGGAGGAGGGAGTAGATGGGGAGATCTGGGTGAGTCCCGCGCTGGGCCATGAGATCAAGGGTGGTGATTGCTTTGCGGAGATGACCGACATTGATGTGGCTGATCAGACGGTTATTGAGGGAATCAAAATTGGGGCTTTTCTGAGGTCTGAGAGAAGGTGGCAATGGGAGCTTGGCGGGAGCGTGAAGAGAGAGGCTTGAGCAATGCATGTTATCTTTAACGGCTTGCCAGATTTCCATTTCAAACTTCAGTTACTTATACTTTTAATTTTCAGTTAATATTGGAGAAAATAATTTATTTATTTTTGGTGGATGGAGTGGAGAAAATAAATTATACAAATTTATAAATAAACCCAATCCTAGACATGTATTTATAAAAAAAACCTAAGCACTATTTAAACATAGAAACACACTCAAAATTAACCCCAAAGTCAACTTTTTGGGTGTGTTTATAAATGGGTTTTGAGTATGTGTAATGATGAGTTTTGGGTGTGTTTATATGTTTAAATAGTACTTTGATTTTTTTTATAATTTCAACCCCTATTTTGGGTGTTTTAGTGAAACTCCCAATAAATTAACCATTATTTACAAGGGAGGTTGACCATCCATTGGATCAGGCCCCTTACAAACTTCAACGGCTCATTGGGTTTTTGGTATAATGATCTTGACACCTATTTGCATGGGCCTGGCACATTGTTACCAAA